TTTCCCCCCCCCCCCGGCCCTGGAAGCCCCCCCCCGGAACCGTTTTTGGGGCCCTTCCCCAAAGGGGGGGGGGGAAACGGCCTTTCCGGGGGGGTTGGGCCACCGGGCCTCCTTGTTCAAAAAGGGTGGGTTCCCTTTCTTCCCCGAGGAAGGAAGTCGTGCCGCGCTCCGCCGCGTCGCGACCTTGCATCTGCGGGCGGGTGCAGGCGTACTGCAAGTGCCCAAAGAAGGCGGGCGAGAAGAAGGCCAAGGCAGCCTCCCCCTTCGCGCCCCCCCCCCCCCCCACTCCTCCCTCTTCCACTGTCACCCGCCCCCCTCCCCGCGCCCCAGGCCGCCACACCAACCACCGGCGGGGCTCTCGTCCCAAAGACGGAGTCGCGCGTGCCGGCCGCCGCCGCGAAGGGGCAGTCGGCGGGCAAGGACAAGACCGCGCCACAGTACACGGCGGCGCCGCTCGAGACGATCCTCGTGGCGACCCTCAAGCCGTCCCGCTTCCTGCTGCCGCCGGCGGCACTGCCGTACCGCGACGAGCTCGGCAGGCTGAGCCTCGCGCTGCTGCGACACGGCGTCGCGCAGGCGCGGGAGTTCCGCCGAGACGGGGGGGGAGATCATGGGAGGTGGGCAGAGATCATGGGAGGTGGGCAGAGGTGCGCCAGACTGGATCGGGTGCCTGTACGGACCGCCGAGCCGCGCTCTGCCCGCGCAGGTGGAGGCGGGGGAGGTGGCCGCGCCGGAGGCGACGGTGGCGACGCTGCGCAAGTGGCTGAGGCACGCCGAGAAGGAGGTCGCCAAGGGAGGGCACGAGTGGACGCGCACCGAGGAGGGCGACGCGTGGGCCGGGCCCGGTGGCGAGGTGCGGGGTGTGCTCGTACACGCCGGCGGCGAGACGGACGAGGAGGGCGAGGAGGGCGAGGAGGGCGAGGAGGCGGAGGAAGAGGCGGCGGGCGCGGCGGCGGCTTCTGCGGAGGAGGCCGCCGCCGCCGCCGCCAAGACGCCAAGGGAGCCACTGCCGACCTTCTCGAGCGACGAGGCGGGCGAGGCGGCACGGCGGTGGGAGGCGGCGGTGGGGGCGGCAAAGGCGGCGCGGGCGGATGCGGATTCAGATGAGCAGGCGCAGGCAGCGGCGGCGAAACGGAAGGCGTGCGACGTGGCGCCGGCCGAGGGCAACGAGGAGCGGCCGGCGAAGCTTTCCCGCGAGGTTCTCGTGTGAGGGCGTGGCCAGGGCTTGTGCACGCTCGGGCGCACTGTCTGCAGGCAGGGTATTAGGCGCACCGCGCCTCGTGCTGAGCCACTTAAGGAGCGACGAGACTCGGTCGAGTCTTCTGACTCGCATTCGCACATCTCTAGCCGTAGAGTTGCGGGTGAGTGTGTAGTGCGCCCCATCACGAGTGAGAGAGAGAGAGAGAGAGAGCACGCGCGAAAGCCGTAAACAAGTTTGGCGAGGTGGGAAGAATCGCTCAGGATACTTTTACATTATTTTCTCTCTGCGTTGTTGAGCCAGGACTCAACATACTCGACTTGCAATCCCAAACTGTCACTCCCCTCTCTCCCGGCCGGGGTGGGGCGCGCGCGGGGGCGGCGGGTGTGCGGCGGGTGTGCGGGATGTCTGTGGGACCGAGAGAGCGATGTGCTTGTGTCTAACATCGAAGGCTAGCTCAATAAATAAAACGGACACCTCTACTCTAGGAGATGGGTCAAATAAAAGGAACAAGGGGACCGCCCGCCCCGCGCCCGAGTTGCTCCTAGTCCGGCGATCTTTGACTTTGTGTGTGTGCAGGGTTCTTTGTACTTTTACATTTTGTCAGTGCGAGCCAGTCCCGTGCCCAGTCCTGTGCCCAGTGTTGTGCGAGGGAGTTTTGTTGTAAAATCATAAAGATGAACGCACAATAAACTCTCCAGCGAGAACGAGAGGGCCCACACTCGACTGCTGTGTGACACAAAAAAAACTGTTCAAGTCTTAAAGGCAAAACACAACGCTCTGCGGTTGGTGCACCCCCCACACTGACACATTCCCCTCATCCCCTGCCACTGGCTGAGCACATCTACCTGCGAGCTAGCATCTCCGCATTTTCTCTTCCAGTCATCCGCCCGCGCCGCGCGCCATCTCTGGGCGTCTAGTGCAGCCACTGACAGAGCTATTCCGAAGGAGTGGTCGACGCCTCGCCTAGAGTTCGGGTGGACTTGCGCACTGCTTAGCCCTGAGGGGGGAGTGTGTGTGAGGTGGTGTAATGTCGTCCCGTTTCCGGCGGCAGGTCAGGGGATTAGCCGGGAGGATTCGGCAGCTCAGCCGGGGGCTGAGCGTCTGCAGGCAGCCTTCCGCTCGCGCCGAAATTCACAGCCCTCCCGGGCCGACGGGGTGCTCCTTGGATCGGGCCCCGCTCCCCGCTTTTCCTGTACCTGGACTGTCCGGGTCAGGAGGGTGAGAGTATTGGGTGGGCGAGGGCAGTACATCTGGCGGGTGGGGATTGAGGGACAGCAAGAGGGCTGATTGGGGGGTCAATGGGCGCGCGGGCGGCGCTTCGTGGTCCTGGGCGAGCAGGGGCAGTGGTTAGGAGTCTTGGGCCTGGAGAGATGAGGATTGTCGAGATGTCATGCGAGAGCGGTAGGTGGGCGAAGGTAGCGCAGCTGGAGAGTGGTGTCCGAGGGACAATGATGAGTTGTCAGTTGGGGCGCGAGACGCGCGGGACAGTGTCGGAGGCGGCCAGTGAGGTAGGGTTGGCTTTGAGCAGTGCAGCGAGTGTGGTCAAGCGTGGGAGCGGCGCGCCAGCACCGGATTTTTTTGCTGTGCGAGTCGAGTTCGTGGCCGGTGCGCGGGAACCTGGCTGAAAACCCGCGCATCCGGCCGGTTGTGCGACCGAGGTCGCCGATTGTACGACCGAGGTCGCAGAGCCTTGGCGACGCGACGCGCACGTCGCCAAGGAGTTCGTAAAATGTCCGAGGTTTTTACTGCTGTGTGACACAGTGCGGTGTGTGAGTCTCACTTACTGCACGCTCCGCGATTCATCTTTCATGTCAGGATGTCAGCGAATATTGTACACATTATAGCAGGGTGTGGGAGCTCACGTCCTTCACTTGCCGCATGCCCACGAGGCCTGGTTCATGCGCGCCCAAAGACGCCCTGTGCCATCTGCGCGGCGCCAATGTAACCCTGCGTCGACGCGTGCCCGACGCCCGTCCAGTCGTACTTGGACAGCTTGTCGTCAAGCCGCTGCGAGGCCTGGATGCCGGCCGGGTCCGTCTTGGCCTGATCGGCCGCAGTGCTGATGATGCCGCCCAAGTCGCCGTGCGCGACGTGTCCGAGCATCGCATCGCTGTACTCATCGCCGGTGACGGGGGCGCCGCCAGCGGCGCCCCGGCCGGGCTCGTCGTCGGCGAAGCCGGTGCGGCCGGGCGCGTCATCAGCAAAGCCGACCGGAGCCGCGCCGCCGGGCCGGCTGCCAGGGCGGCGTGGACCAGACCAGCCGGTGCCGCCACCGGGCCCGCTGTGGCCCGTGCCGGGAGGCCCGCCGGGGCCGCCCCATCCTGGGAAGGCCCCGTCTATCTGGCCCGCCTTATCTCTGACCGCGTATCTTTTGCAAGGTGGGGTCCGTTAGGTTGCGCATCCACATATTTCGGTCAAACCCTTCTCCGCTCGTGCCTCCTGCTTTTTCCCCTGGCCTCCACCATCCCCCATTATTATCTCCTCGCTTCCCCAATATATTGCTAGACGCTTTGCTCTCTCCTCCTTCACTTTCCCGCCATTACCTTTCCTTCCGAATTCCACCTCCTATCTATATTGACTATT